GTCTTCAAACTCAAGAAAGCGCTCTACGGTCTTAAACAAGCACCACGTGCTTGGTACGAACGTTTGAGTAAATTTCTTTTGGATAGTGGTTTCCAAAGGGGAAAGGTTGACACTACACTTTTTATCAAGAGTAAAAACAATAACATCCTTTTGGTTCAAGTTTATGTAGACGACATTATATTCGGTGCTACTAACGAGTCTTTGTGCAAGGAATTCTCAACGCTCATGACTAGCGAATTTGAAATGTCAATGATGGGCGAGCTCACATTCTTTTTGGGACTCCAAGTTAAGCAAATGAAAGATGGAACGTTCATTTGCCAAGCTAAATACTGCAAGGAGCTCCTAAAACGGTTTGAAATGGACAACGCCAAAGCCATGGCGACCCCGATGAGCACGTCTGACCATCTTGACAAAGACGAGAAAGGTAAGGAAGTAGAGGTCAAAAAGTATCGAGGTACCCCGTCCATAAAATCAGGGGGAACCATGCAAATAGTGCTATCCCGGAGACACAACAGCGCTGTTTAGGGAAACACCGTCAACCAGAAAGTTCTTCAACAGCGCTGTCTATCTTAACCAACAGCGCTGTCCCAGGGAGTACCTTACATTTTTACTTCCAGAAACTTTTTCAACAGCAATGTCGTTTAGAGCAACAACGCTGTCCAATTTTACAAAATTTTTTTCGTAAAACAGCGATGTAGAGAAACCCAACAGCGCTGTTCAAATGGGTTCAAACCCTTTCACCATTCTAGAAACTTTTGAAACATCGCTGTAGGGCACTCAACATCGCTGTCTGTTTTACTCTTGCTTTTTTAAAAGTTGACGCAGAACACCGCTATTTCCCTTTATTAAATAAAATCATTTTGGTTATTTTTTGTTAATGTCAAAAGGGGGAAGAAAAGGGCTATGCATATACTAAGGGGGAACGTCTCTCTAAACGAGACCGTTTGATTTTAATCCAAGTAAATCTTTTTTTAAGCACAAATTAAGGGGGAACTTTTTCACAACTTTAAAAAAAAAACAAACATCCCTTAGTATTCATATCCCCGTCTTGTTTGCCATTATCAAAAAGGGGGAAATTGTTGGAACACGGGTTTACGCCTTCGTCGCACTAAACTGTGTTCGTTTATGACAGGTTTTGATAATGCCAAACCGCCGCGACATATCGAAGCTAAAGTGAGCAAAACTAAGGCGAAGGAACATGGCATGATGACTTAAGAACCAAGAACCCAGAATCAAGAACGAAGAACTAGAATTGTATTGAGTCGGTCTTAATGTGATCAAGACCGGCACAAAATTCCAAATCTTGGCTCTCTAGGCTTAATTCATAAAAATCTCTTTTACATATTCAAAAATA